AAATAATCTTTTTTCAGAAACCATAGCAAATAACCAAATAATCAAATAATCTTTTTTCAGAAACCATAGCAAATAACCAAATAATCAAATAATCTTTTTTCAGAAACCATAGCAAATAACCAAATAATCAAATAATCTTTTTTCAGAAACCATAGCAAATAACCAAATAATCAAATAATCTTTTTTCAGAAACCATAGCAAATAACCAAATAATCAAATAATCTTTTTTCAGAAACCATAGCAAATAACCAAATAATCAAATAATCTTTTTTCAGAAACCATAGCAAATAACCAAATAATCAAATAATCTTTTTTCAGAAACCATAGCAAATAACCAAATAATCAAATAATCTTTTTTCAGAAACCATAGCAAATAACCAAATAATCAAATAATCTTTTTTCAGAAACCATAGCAAATAACCAAATAATCAAATAATCTTTTTTCAGAAACCATAGCAAATAACCAAATAATCAAATAATCTTCTTTCAGAAACCATAGCAAATAAGAATAATTTATTTTCTATGACAACAAATCTAAACTTAAAGTAAAAACATAAAAAAAAATGCAATTCAAAAATTTTTTTTGTGCTCAAGACAACTCTAATCCATATGAGAAAATTCAAAATGTACGATTATACTAGTGTCAAAAAAATCTGTTTTAAAATTATGACAATTAAAATTTTGAAAATCACAAGAGCTACTTCTATTTTTAAGACTAAATTTACTTATACATTTTTATTATACATTTTTACTCCTATTAACTACATATTTTACTCTACTAGTTACAGGCCGTTAGCTTATCTTGTTCCTCAAAATTTTTTCAAGGTATATTTTACAATAGACTAATCATTTAACTGAAAACAATATGTTCTACAGTTCACAATATGTGAATATGTTTTACATTATGTCCTATAGTAAGCATTTTTCTTTTTAAAAAAAATTGATCATGTAATAGTAAACCTTATTAATTATTTATCTAATGTATTTAAAAAAGACTTTTTAAAAGCATTAATCCGACCATTCTAATAAAAAAATGGAACAAAATGGCATAGAAAGTAAAATCCTATTATGTGTTGAAAAAAATAATACTTTTAATGTGAAATCATAAAAACATACAAAAGTAATACAACTTATAAGGGCATTACTATATAAAGACATCTACTTTCTATATAAGCGCATTTACCTTCTTTACTCAAACGATCATGTTAACTAAACTTTATTTTATTTGTTGATGACTCCAATTTTTATTCTCATAAAAATATTAAAAGAATACACTGGTTGGGTTGTTAAAATGTATCGACGTACATGTATTTTGAAGAACAATGTGTCTAGTTGGAATTAAAAATTGATATTTTAATGCACTATAGGGCAACTTGTCATCAGGCAAAAATTGTCAAGGCATGGTTTTAAAAAAATGTAGCTAATGTACTTGCCCCGTGGCAAGGTAGAGTGTTAGTAGATATTGAAAAATTGAAAGCTAGAGTTTTTATATAAAACCAAACCTCTTTAGCAGATTTGAAAAAAGCTATAATAAAAGCATAGTATCATAAAATAACACCCGAATATTGCAAGCCTTTAGTTAACTCATTATTGGTCATAATTGAAAGCCATTAACCTCGTCTTTAGAATGCAAAACAATATTGATTTGAACGCATTGATGTTTAAAAAAAAAAACTATTTGCATTTGCCATCAAAGTTTTTGTTTTTTTTTTAACTTTTTTGAATTAACTAGATAAGGAGGGAAAAATTAATCAAGCGACCATGCGTAGTCTTCCTTTGGACAAATTAAAACTTACACTACGTATGTCCACGTGATTATTTTTCTCTTTTTTTTCCCGTTTCCGTAAAAAAACGGATGAGTGGAAACTCGCCTTTATGGCATATTCTGAAAAATCATTAACTTTTACAAAACTTTTACAATCATATATGAAATTAAAAATGGTTTTAAAAATATTAAAGAAATGGTCGATAAGAAATCGCTAAACTATTCCTTAACTTTATTGAAAAAGAAATGGTAATAAAATGAAAAGAAATTAAAATGTTTTCAACATTCTATAACAAAAAATTAAGCAACTATTTTACGGGGATCTCAGTGTTAGAAAAATAATTAGAGTTTTGGGTTCTTTTACGTCAAGTAGCCTCCACGCAACTTACCTAATGTTTGAAAACATTTTGTGAGTAAAACGTGCCATGTACACTGCTAAAGTGTCATAACACTAGTTGTTTCAACTTTTTTAAAGCCGTACACAAACTTTATTTTTGTTCACCAGTTAAAAATTGCATTTCTGGGATCTTATAACTTTGCAATAAAGGCTCGAAAACGTGGTTTTTGAGTAAACCGAAGTTAAATATTGCAAAAAAGTTTTCTATCACACATATATTTTATTATACAACTCTAGCTGGCGTCAAAAGTCTAAGATTAAAGATCCAATTAAAGACATCGACATCAAAACTAAGCTTGTTATACCCAACATATATGTCACACGACATCAAAACTAAGCTTGTTATACCCAACAGCAAACTACTATGTTACTTGATTTTTATTTACTGATTTTTTATTTTTATTTAGTGACAGAAACTTGTGATTACCAAAGGTAAATTATCTTTTACATCTTTTGTTTTACTTTGTCTACATTTGTAAACATAAGTCAACGAAAATTAATGTAAAGATAAATCAATATAAATTAATGAATTTACTCAACAATTTTTTAAATAAATACTATAAACTAAATGATGTCTAAATTTAATTATCGATAAGTCATTAAGGCTTATTAATAATTAGATAAGACTAGATAAGATAGACTGAAGATTAGATAAGATAGACTGGCTTGTGCGGCTAAACGTTTTACAGTTCCTACAGCTCAATCTCAGAGAAATGTTTTATGACTAGTTGCAAAGACACTTCTCTCTGCACATGGAAGCGGTACTTCATTAATTATAAACACATTGTGATCTGCTTGAATTAAATGAGCCGCTTTCAAATGCAACTCATATGTACATTCTTGACATTAAAAGCAATATTTCGGTTGTCTTGATACCATTTTTGATGAATACTTCTGAGAAAACATTGTTATCAATCTATAAATTTCTTTTGTTCGTTTTTGATTGGAAAGTCGAAAGAGTGCTATGTCACAAGTTTGCAAAATGTGAGATGTATTAAGCGGAAATGTGACAATAAATACTCCACCATCTTTTTACAACTCAAACATTTTAAAGCTCTTTTATGACGTGTGGTTATTGATGACTCTTAGCCTTTGGACATCTTTGAGTTTTTCTTTCAGCACTTTGATATAATCAAAAAAAATTTTTTACTGCCATTTTTTTTTTAACAACCTTTTCCTGTATCGCATTACGTTAGTTACACTTGTTGTCCAAGATACACCAAATATCATGGCGTGTCATTGTGCTTGCTATTTGATTGCTCTCAAAACGTAAATATATGTAAGCGATCAAAAAATACTTGAATATTCTGAGCAGAAAGTCTTGATGCAGCTTAACTTACTTTGTTGTTTCTGCGGTGCAAAAACGTATATTCTGATTTCACTGCATAAATTTGATTGATATTTTTGAATCCGGCGGAATTTCCAAATTTGATAGTAATGGATATCAAATCTTTGTAAGGGCGTGGAATATCCAATGTTAAAACTTTTCCATGATTTTTCACTTTTAAATCTTTCAATCTAAAACAGTGGTTTTTTAAAACTTATACAATTTGGCATTATAGTATATACCAAATTGTATAAATTTCAGAAATATCAATTTCTAAATTTAAAAATGAAAAGTTACTCAAAACTGTTAATGAAAATCAAATCTAATCCATAAGTTACAGCAAAGGTCAACTCAATTGAGTCCTTTTCTTTATTAGTAGTTTTAGATATCGTTTGCGCCTCTTGTGATTCTGCTATTCTTGGAACAGTATGAATCAGAGATTTGAATGACACATTTGACTATTTGTCAGAGATTTACATTTTTTTTAGGTTCTAGAATATTACTATAAAGTAGATAACTATCTACACCTCTCTATTTATTTTCCAATTTTATCGCCATTTTTTCCTTTTCCGGAAAGATTTTTTTATTTCTTTGTCAATGTTTTAATCAATGTTATGCATTATTTGTTGATAGTTGTAGTGGTTTGTAATGTTAATAATTTCTTTTTTTAATTCTTTTTCTTGAGCATTTGCAATTTTCGTAACATTTTTCTTCTCTCAAAATTTTAGAGGAATAACAGAAAACGCATTCAGAAATAACAGAAACTTTGTACCTTACTATTTATATAAATTTGTATTTATTTATATCTTTGTATATTATCATTAATATCAATTTGTATTATTGTACTTTATTATTTATAAGTTATATCAAATTTAAACGACATATTTTTATGTTATATTAATTGCAGTTACCGCAAACATAACTTTTTAAGATAATATTATGCATTTTTTTATAAAATAATTTACATAAAACTTTTACTATAATTATAAAATGCTTCAAATAAATTAAAAAAAAATTATTTGAAGCATTTTATAAATTAAGTGCTCATTTTTAAGAACCGATTATTGAAAGAACTTTAATCTTAAAGTATTTAAAATACAATTCTAAATTCAAAAAATATTGTGTTTTGGTTTAACTTCACCGATTGTTATCGAGATGTTAAATTATATATGAGAGCCATTATTTTGTAGACGAAATAAAAAGTTGGACAAAAAAATAACGTTTCTCTATTTAGACTTAATCCGCAACAAAACCCTCGAGTGTTTTGTTGGGGAATAAGTCTTAAAACGTTTTAAAAACGTTATAAATACGTTATAAATGCGTACTTAAAACGTTACTATTTTCGTTATATTCTTTATTTCGTCTAAAAAGTAATGTAAACCCCAAGTAAAAAGTAAACCTCAACAAAACACTCTTTAGAGGTCTCATTATAAATCCTAAAAAAGGTTTTATTGAGCATTTTTTACCCTACACTTTATGGAGGTTAAGTAACGTTAAGTAAAAAAAACAAATAATAAAACATAATTTATTTGATCTAATTACAAACTTTTGCAAAAATATACTGAAATTTAAAAAAAAACTTATGAAAACTGCACAACAGTATTGTATGGCCTGCCATACAAAAAATAAGTTTTTCTAGTAACTCAATTTCTTAAAGAAACCTAAAAAGCAAAGTCATTGTAACATTTAATTTAATTATTGTCGACAATATAGTAATGGTAGTAGTAATAGTTTTAAGGTAATTTTTTTAAGAAAACTTTTTTGGTATTATTAACATGATTTATTTTTTTGATGTTTAAGCTTTAAATAAATTAACTTTTCGCGCGCTTTAATATAATGATGATGACGTATTTACAAAGACGTATAAATATTTAGCAGGAAAAAAAAAAAATTATAAAATATCGTATGTCTGCAATAATTGCGAGTCGTTTGGGTTTTTAGGATTTAAAGTACATTTAAAGATATCAGTTGATGAAAATTTATTCATTTTTTTCAACAGGTTTGACTTTTCATAATTCCAATGTGTTTGCTCATTACTTTCAAACAAACTAGATAAATAGGGTTTGACAGCACTTACACTGAATCTACCACACTGTCTTCCTTTATTTTTTAAACTATTTGAAGTTAACCCAATCGCACGCTTCTTTCTTCTCTTTGAACAATTATAAAATTGCGATGGGGGCACATCACCAGAGAGTGTATCCAAGTGGCTATCTTTACTAGTAACAGTGTGAATTGTTGTTAAATAGTCATCCGAGCTTAGCAGACCAGTGTTAGATAGTGTTGGTTCAGTTCTAGGTGTGGAGATACCATTATAAAAATGTTTTAAAAGAGCGTTGTCAAAGTTTTTTGAATCGCGATTGATTTTGTTTAATCTGCTACAATCCGAAGTCAATTTTCTACTAGTTAGTTTATTTCTTTCAACGTGTTTCATTGGAAATCTCAATTTAGGCAAAGAGCGGACTTTAGCTATGATAAATTTATTTTTTTTCGGTTGAGATTCGTCTTTTTCACTAAGTGAACTTCTAACGGAGTTATTAGAATAAACTTTTGATTCCGCGTAAGGTTGAGAAATACGTTCTATAAAATTGTTTAAAAACCTACTATCGCTATCAGATTCTATGATGTCATACTCTGATATATCAAAGCAATCGTCACTATCTAAATCAGGAGCAAAAAATCTTTCCGATGGTTTTGTTCTTTTTTGTATCAGTTCAACGGCACGATCTAACGAATATTCTTGTCCCAAGTTCTTTTCAAATATAAATAAATCGTCATTAATGTCTAAAAAAGGAGAAGTTTTAGTATCCGGTGTTTCATCCACCTCGTTGTCAGCGTCGTAATCGATATTTCCATCGTCTTCAGGAAATAAGGAAAATTTATGTGCTGTTTGACCAAGTTTTTGAACAACTTCATGAGTCATGTCGGCTTTGAGACAAGAACGAATGTTATTATCATTGAGTTTTTTTGAATTAAAAAACTGAAAACTTTCATGGGACGGTTGAACAGATGCTAAAAACAAAAAACAAAATTTTATAAAAGTTAGAGCACTAAAAAATAAACTTTTAAATAATAGGTATTTATAAAAATACAAAAAAATAAGTATAAAAAGTAGGTTTTAGTAAAAAAACCTTTACGTTCAATAAAAAATTTATAAGAACAAATGATATTTTTGAGTAAGAAATTAATTTATAACTAAACTGTTTTAATAACAAAGTTATACAAATCGATTGTCAAATGTTTTTACCCAAAAAATTTTCCGTTGTTTCTATATCAGGTCTTCCCATATTTGTTAAAATATTTTTTTTCTTTAAACTACTTTTTTATACGCAAATCAAAAAATTGCGTTATTTGTAGTTAAGTATTGCTTAAGCAACAGAAAAATAAGTACTTTTGGATTATTATGAAATGTTAATTATTTTCTATTATTATTGCCTCATCTTTCTTTGCATAGGAGACTTGACATAACAAGCATTCCATAAATTCCGCCCTTTGCGTCAAGATTTTACGAAATTTAAATTGATTATATTTTGTTATGTCAATATTGTTTTTTGTAAATGAAACGCTTTTATATTTTTCTAAATGTCGATAAAAATTATTTAAAAGTTACTTCAATATTTTATACTCATATAAAATTTAATATATATTAATTCATAAAAAATTGTAAATAATATGATCTTTTATCCTCCTAAAGTTAATGATTAAATTAAATAATTACATTAATTAGTAAATTATTATTAAAATTACTTACTTATATCATTTATCGACCCCGTTGTACTGTATGAAAACCCACTATCGAAGTCAAAATTAACTTCGCACTCGCAGTAATCATCGTGTTGTTTATCGCAAGTCTTTACATTTTGAAAGTGTCTCCTGTCATTTTGTAAAACATCCACAAGTTCTCCACAACTTTCTGTTCCGCCCAAACATCGCTCAATTTCGTTTACAGGAAGGTCAGTTTGAAGAAACAAATGAACTGAAATATCAGAAAGGTATGCGCTTTCTTTGGCAATACTAGATTGTAAACATATTTTTTGAAAATTAAAAAATATGAACATAAAATTAAAAAATGCCTTTCTTCTATTTTAATAAAAACTATTATATATCATATTATATATTATAGATATGTTCATTTTCTCCTCGTCCTTAAATTTTCTACAACAAATTTATTGTTTAAAAATCGATAAAATGTGATTGTAGCAATAGGTTTAAAGTTAGAAAATATTTTGCCAAAAGTACACACTTTGTATTGCACTTTTGACGCATTCGAACTATATTTTTTCTTACGCGCGAATAGACTACAATAAGGTAGTCTATTGGCACGAATGTACGAATAGACTCGCCCTTTATTTATTTTAGCAAATAAACAATAAAATGATAATTTTAAAAGAGTTTCGTAAATTTTTAATTTTTAATAAACAATAAAATGATAATTTTAAAAGAGTTTCGGCAATTTTTAATTTTTAGTGTCTAAAAAACATTTTCAGTACAAAGCAATTAAATATAACATTTAGATTAAACTTTTTTCAACTTTTTTTTACTAATAAAATTCAATAGATAAAGTTTTTAATTCCCATTTTTGTTTCGGGATGGTCTGTAAATTGCACAACGCTAAATTTAACTAATAGACAAAACAAAAAAAATCACCAGTTTTTCCTCGCAGAGTATTTAATTAATCCAAAAACAATGAAAATTGCCGCGCGAAAGAGCAAATGATCTCCTACTTACATTTTTTAAATTAAGTTTAACGTTGCTTATTTTATAGACGATCCCTAATTTTATATGAATTTATATGGAATGGTTCAATAGCTCCGATTCAATAGCCCATCCCCTCTTCTTCCCCTCTTCTTCCCCTCTTGAGAAATACAGACACTTTTTTATTTTGAGATAAAAAAGTAAAAACATATTATAAAAATATAAAAATACATTATTTTTCTTTTAAAATTTTTCATTCACCATCACTTGAGTGTTGATATTTTTTTACTCATTTAGTTGGAACTTTAATTATAATTAGACGTTTTTTGCTAAGCCTTTTGCGTCTCCGCAAACATGAAGAAACATCTTTGTTAAGTAAAGCTCATTTTGGGTCAAGCTAAGTTTAGGTAATACATACAGGGGCGGATGCAGCTTTTTTTGATATTTGACAAGCCCGTACCGTGAAAATTTTTAGGGGAAAAGGGGGTTGTTTTTTGAAAAAAAGGCAGTTTAGAATAGCAAATAAAAATTGATTTTTAAAAGAAAACTTGCATGAGAATTTGGTAAAAAAGAAGAGTCAATTGCATCCGACGAACCACTCCCACCACCACCACCACCACTACCACCACGTTTGAGATAACTTCAAAACATGGAACAAACTCTAAACATTCATTTATATGTTTATTCTTATGTCAAATAATAATGTATAAGAATGGTTTGCAAAAAAGATGTTTCGTTCAAAAGTTTTTAATTATGTACCTTTTAATTATGTACCCCCTCAAATAGTATATCAAACAGATGTTTACACTTGATATAGTCGCAATCATTTCAAACGCTAAGAGAATTATTGCATAAAAATTAGAATTTATCGATGAATTTAAATTTATTTGAAATTTGTGAAAAATATGTTTTATCAACTTGTTGCTCTCACGTTTAGGGCAGTTGTGGCCTAAAATTTAGGGCTTTTTTGTTCTTAGGCTCTAATCATCGCGATTTTTTGCAAAGCGCCATTATATTATCATTTTTATCACAGCTAATCAAAAGATGACCAAAAACTATAAGAGAAAAACTAAGCATACATTTTCACCTGAAAAGTTAAGGGAAGCAGTAAAAGATGCCCAAACAAAAAATTTGAGCATGTTGCTAAACACGGTGTTAGCGTGTTAGCGAATCAAGACTCGTCGACCATAACAAAAAGACTAAACATCAGAATATTGATTTAATAACTGTTGGTATAACAACTAATTTCAAGAAAAGTCAAGATTTTAACAATAGTACTTTTAACCTGAGTACATATAACCTTGATGGCGATGGATTGTCATCAAGGTTATATGTAAAAGTGCAGTTTGGATGAATAACAATTGCAATAATTTATAAATAAAAAAAAACATTGTTGAAATTTATTTATTTGATGTCCATAATCTCTTCTATACATGTCCGAAGTCATCCCGCATGCGGAGTGCAGTCACCCTACATGTCCCTTGCAGTCACGCCCGTATGCACTGCATGCGGGGTGCAGTCACTCCCACAGCTGAAGTCACCCCGCATGCAGTGCGGGGTGACTTCAGCTGTGATAATTAAAAGGTACATAATAAAATGGAAAAAAAAAAAAATTTCACATTTAAAAAGTATTTAAAACATTCCCCTTCCCACCATCTAAAACACGCGCACGCATGCATGCAAAAAAACTAATTCAAAAGGTAAAACATTTCAATTCAAGTATACCTACTTTTCTAAAAATCTTTGAAGACCTCTTTTTCTGTACTTTAAAAATTGCCGTTTAAATCTTCCTAATAAACGCTTCGGAGGAAGTTCCGGTAAGCTTCTGCCGTAAGAAACAAAATATTTCCAAAAAATAATTTATTTTTACAAAACAATAAATATTGTTACAAAATGACTAAAAAAATTTATAATCAGATAAAAAAGTTACGTGATCGAAAACTCACAAACCTTTCAAGAAAGAACTGAGCTGACAATCTTTTGTGTAGCCATTGAAAGTCAGAATATCTTCTTCGAACACTCGAGTTGGATTTTGAAAAGGCAATGCTGTTTGTCTGTAAACCAAAAGAAAAAAAGGTTGTTGAAAAAGTACAACAAAACAAAGATTTGTTATTTATAACCTTATTCGTTTTATTGCGGCATATTTTAATTCTTTTTAGAAAGTTTTTTTATAATAACATTTAAATATAAAGACCTTGTCAAGCTCTTCTCTATGAAATAGGTGAGCAAAAAAAAAAAAAAAAAAAGGACATAAATAAATAAGTAGCGGAGAATTAAAATCTTTAGGATCAAAAGTTTTTTTATGATGGTAAGAATGAAACAATAGTCTAGTGACTTGAGTTGTGTGCACACCCCTCCTTCTAGTAGTTCACGTTCACGAAAATCTTGTATCTTCTATATAATATAATTATCAACCTGACTTAAAAAAAATTATTATTATAATTTGTTACTGAGTTTAATTCCGAATAAAATCAAAAAAGTTACGCACTTGAACGTAAATTTCATAGTCAGTATATAAGGCTTTTGTCTTGTTGAGGTGTGTCCTTGGATTGCGAACCTCAATTCTTATGAACTCCTATAAAAATAAATAAATTATATATATATATATATATATATATATATATATATATATATATATATATATATATATATATATATATATATATATATATATATACATATATATATATTTATTATTGTTATTATTATTATTATTATCATTATTATAATAATTGTATTTTTGTTAAATAATGTAGCATAAAACAATTTCATCAACAAACTAAAAATAAAGATTGAAATATAAAAATTACAAACATTTCCTCCGATTTTCTCCTTTCTCTTTTTCCTAATCATATTTGTAATTATCCAACTACAAACTTTATTTCCAAAAAAAACATAATTCAATTGCTTTTAAAGGAATTTGTAAGCTATTATTATCTTAACCTGATAAAAACACGATAACCCGGTTGTTTTTTTTACCGCAAAATAATATATAATATTTAGATGACATCAGTTTACGACGCTTAAAAGTAAAACAGAAAGTATCGATTTTTCTAAAAAAGATTGACCAAAACAAGATTTAAAACGTTTTAAATTTTTTTAAAATGAAGGTTGTCAACTAATTGAAAAAAAGTGACTACCTAGAATAATTAAGTGAAAATGTGTTTTTTATATAATATAGATTTTTTATAAAATTGTTTTACCTTTAATAAATACGATAATTAATTATAAATTCGATATAACTTAAAATAGAATATCAATAAAAATGTAAGTAAAAACATCTTGCTCCTATTTTGAGGGGAGAAGGGGTAAGAGGTATGTTAAAGGCGTAAAATGGTATCAAACCTATTTAAGAGACAAACTTTCATTTTAAAAGTTCTAAATAGCGGCAAGACAATAAAACAATAATTAAAAAATAGTTTAACGCAATAAAATTATTTAAATTTTTTTATAATCTGAGTTATTCAAAAAAACTTTTCTTATTTAAAACAGCAATTCTCGAATAACATAAACTTGTTAAATTCAAGGGTCGAATAAAATTCTTTTCAAACAAAGCGGTGTTTTCGGTAATTTCATAATAAAATCCGATTAATTACCAGCGAATTCCTTTATAAATTAATATCGCAAATTATTACATTATTATTACATTTTTTTCTCTATTTTTTTAAGCCCTAAAAGTATTTTACATGACAATTTAAAGTTACTTCTTTCACAAATCATAAAACTGGATATTAGTGTATGCAAGGCTGCCCTAAAACATAAGGCGCCTAAAGGCATTTAGCGATAATTCGCATAGCAAAAGAAGATTTATATATATATATATATATATATATATATATATATATATATATATATATATATATATATATGTATATATATATATATATATATATATATATATATATATATGTATATATATATATATATATATATATATATATATATATATATATATATATATATATATATATATATATATATATATATATATATATATATATATATATGTATATATATATATATACATATATCGTTTTTCCTAATTCCGAGGGTTAGGGGAAAGCGGGGCAACATGGCGAACGTTTTGAAAGCCCTGAGTTGTTGCAAAACTATAAGCCGTGAAGCCATAATACTTTCTCAGTATTTTAATGTTATTAAATTCTTTCATTGCCTGCATGAATTTTCAGTTTGCAAATATAACAATTTGAAATAAATATTAAAATAAAAAGTTCATAAATTTGTCATCAGGTCACGTGACCGGAGCAAGATGACTTATTATGCAATTTTCACCTCCAATTTTATAAAATTTTTAAAACTACCAATAACTCTAACTAAAGTAACAAAAAATAAACACAAATTGCAAAAAGCTACTTCTAAAGAAGTTAAACTTGAAGGACACCATCCATTATGAGAAACCGAAAGTGAGGAATTTTTTTTTAGGCGCTAAAAGTAAACTTATGTGTATAAAATTCCGTTAATAATATTTCAAAAAGCCAATTAGTGTTTTAAAATACAAGATGCAAATACAGTTTTAAGATTTTTTGTTGAGTTGTTATATGAAAACCCATCTTGCCCCATTCGCCATGTTATATATATATATATATATAAATATATATATAAATATATATATATATATATATATATATATATATATATATATTTATATATATATATATATATATATATATATATATATATATATATATATATATATATATATATATATATATATATATATATATATATATGTAAGTGTAACCACTGCGTGTTAGCTAAATGCTTATGTTTGTAGTATAATTTTGCTACTCAGAGTTTCATGTTACCACGATCTTTAGGCATTTAGTAAAAGCTTAATTTTTGTTTATAGATGTTACAGTTTATGTTTGTATATTAGATCGTTATGGGACGGATATTTAGTTGTTAGGTTAATATTATTATTAATTTGTTTTTAGTTTAGTTAATAGTTGTGAAATAGTTATATCGTCGGGGATAGTGCAAAACCCCGTAACTAACATTGGATAATATCGCGTATCTACAGTACATTTTTTTTACTGGAGAAGTTTAAAACTTTATATATTTTTTATTTTTTATCACTGATATTGGGTTCATTTTAGTATATAGAGTATTATTCATGTTTTCTGTAATCTCAAAAATAGATATTTGGTGTTAAAATTAATAATATCCAAATATAGTAGCCAATACTAGTTACGCGGATTTGCACTCTCCCCGACGATATGTTTTGGTGCTTGTTTAAAATAATCGTTTATGTGATAATGTGCATTATTTATATCATAAAAAATAATATTAATAATATCATTATGAAATATATTACAATAGCTGTTTATGTGAGCAGTTTATTATTTAGCCTATGAATATATATATATATGTATATATATATATATATATATATATATATATATATATATATATATATATATATATATATATAATTTAGTCATTTTATACGATTATTACAAATATCATGGAAATTTACACGATTTATTCTAATAAATTTATAAAATTTCCATTAAAGCTTCGAAATTAAAACATTCAAACAACCTACGTCTTGAGTAGTTAACTCATCACCAGACAAATCCATTGCGCTATCATAACTTGCTTGATACAACCAATTCGATGAAGACATTGCGCTATTTTTTACAAAGGTTCCTTTCCAATTTGATGGACTAAATAAATACGCAAAAATTAGGTAATTTAATAATCGAAATTAAAACATCCATATCTTTTATTTAATGACGTCAAACGCAACACACGTTGTAACTTGCTATAAGAATTTAAACATTTTGTTCCAAAATTTCTATTTTAAATCATAACATTAAAAAAATATTGATCAACATTGCACATAATAAAGTTGTGTTTTCAAGAATAAAACTTCTAATCGTCAAGATAAAGTTTTAAAGGAGAATCTATTCACAAAAAAATACATGAAGACATTAAGTGATTAATATTTTTAAGTATCATTGTAACTTTCCTTTATTTTGTTGTATTATAAATCAATACTATCTTCTTTTCTTTTTTATAATACTAAGACAAACTTATTTTTTCTAAGTATTATAATTCCTGGCGTATAAGTTTTCAAAATTCAAAAATAAAATTAAAAAGTTTGTGCTCTTGATTCAAAATTATTTTTGAATACTCTTCATAGTGGCTAAATGTAAAATGTGAATAAGTATTGAAGTATTACATTTTTTTAAATTTGCGTTAACTTTTTTTTTTTTAACTTTTCTTTTTTTTTTTTTTTTGTTACTTCTTCAATAAAAGGTTCAGCCGATCATAATGATCTTCTACTTAATTTATTACCTTTGCTCTTATTTTTTTTTATATAGGCTTAAAATTTATAAGCTTTTTTAATTAACGAGTTGTAAAAGTTTCTATTGTATATAGCTTTAAAACAAATTTAATTATCTTTTTCATTAAAATATTTTTTATTTCGATCCACGACTCAAGATCAAAACAAAGTGAAAAACCAAAATTGATTCATTTATAACTGGATAAAAAGAAATGCAGAAAGGGTTTTTTTAAATAAAGAGCCAACTTTAGTAATTTAAAAAAAAATTATAATACAAAAAATATATATTTTATAAAATTAAACTTAAAAACTATTAATGAATTTAAAAAAAAAGTGGTTTAAAATGCAAATTTAAATTATTTGTGAGCTAAAAATTGTAATATTTATTAAATTGTTTCAAACTTAACAAACGTCGAAACTCGTCTCAAAAACTTTAAAATGAAGTGATTTTATTTATTTCAAATTTACCTCAATAAATAGATATATATGCATAATCCTCCCTAAATATGTTTCAATGTTTTTCGAATATCAAATAAATGTTGTTATTAATTAACACTTATTGGTTTTCTCTTTATATACAAAAATAACAAGCTACTTAACATTAGGCAATTCAACTATTTAAAATTCTGGTCACATGACTTAAAGTAATTTAACACTTTGCGGTCGATTTTGTTGATTTAAGTCGTTTTAGAAACGCGTCAATATAAAATTTCTTTTAAAAGCCAAGCTATTTTAAGTCTCTATTGAGCCAATTGCTGTTTGACATTTAACATTCTATGAATTCAATCAAATCTTGGAACCAATAGCAACAAATAGTAATAAATTCTAGTTACTACTGTAGCATAAATTATTAAAGATTATCTTAAATAATTTAAAATATACAAATTTAAAATTCAAAAACAAATAAATTGCTTAGTTAACATTTAAAAGTTGTGCAATAACTAGGACCTGACAAACGGTAAATAGACACAGATAAACGTACGCCTTCAAAAACATAATATACTTATTAACATTAATATACTATATAATTAAGAAGATAAATAAGATACATGAACGCCTGAAATGTAAGAAAAAAAAAATACTGCAAAGAATAAGAGTACTAGAATTTGAGTATACATACAATGTATACTAAAAAATAACTAAACATAACATTGTAGCACTTATAAAACAATATCTATAAATTGCATATTTTACGTTTTTATCTTTTTAATGTAATAATATCTTACAGGTTTACCATATGTTCTAACATTTGCATATCGAATCTTTGTCTATGTTAAATATATCTTTGCTCGACCAAAATTAATGTTTAAGTTTAGAGTAATTACATTTGGATCAAATGGTAATAAAACGCTCGTGCTTGTCACAAAAAAATGAATGGAGTTGTAATTAAAGAATAATCAGTGAATACGTGTTGTCATCGTTAACATGTGTAAACGATTGAATACAACATTGCTGACAAAAATTATTCATATATGGCCTTTTGACTAAAAACTTACCGATCTGTAAAAAGCATGTCTTGTATACAAATATAAAAAGCATGTCTTGTATACGAAATTTAAAGATTAGATTTAAATATAAATTTGCAATATTATATATATATATATATATATATATATATATATATATATATATATATATATATATATATATATATATATATATATATATATATATATATATATATATATATATATATATATATATATATATATATATATATATATATATATATATATATATTACACACCTATTTTACACCTTAGGCTTTGTCGCTTTTTAAGGTATCATCAGCGTCATCAATGTATTTGAGATAATGAAAAAAAAAAGCATCTTATTTATATAAAGCATAAAAACTGGGAATTAACTGTAATACAAAGTTTAATTACTTAAGATAAAAAGTGTAAAGTGTTATGGGATAAAAGTGTAAATAATTCATCTAATTAATAAGTTTTTTTAACTCTTAAGAAAAAAAACAAGCGTAAAAAAAAAAACAAGTTTTTTTAACTTATAAGACAGAAACCAAGCGTAACTTTTTTCTGAGTTGTGCCGACTGGGTATAGTCTAGGAATTCCGGTCGGAATTTGTGAGTTTTAGGTCATTTCGGTTCCCGCCGGAATTATAATATTTCAGGCTGGAAAGCCGGAATTTATGTTTCACCTTTTTTTTAATTTTTTTTTTTAACTCTTAAGACAAAATTATACTTTTGCATAATACAATTAATTCACAGTTTTTGTTCAGATTTTCTTACCGAAAACGTATTGTATTCGCACGCAACAAGTCGTTGTTTTGCTTTTTTAATGTCATTGTATGTTTTTAATGCAGTTGTGTCAAAATTTAATATATTAATTCTGAAAAATATACACCAAAAATTTAAAATAAAGTTTCAACAAATTATTTTAACAAATTAAGTGTTATGAAGACAAGAAATTAATGCGTAAAATTTTTATTATGTTATTTCAAAGGATGTTTTTTAGCTTAAAACTCAACACTTAAAACATTTTTTGCAATAAAAAGTTTAAAAAAACTTTCAGTATGAAATATTTAAAATAAATTAGAAGAATTTCTGTTAAAATTTTTTATTGCGCAAACTTGATTGTAGCTATCATTCTGCCATCAACGTCAAATTGCTAGAATACGTCAAATTGGCGTTTGGTGCCGACATGGCTTTATTCTAATTTTTCAACAATTCGGCATTTCAAGTAATAAGTTTTATTAAGTAAAACGACGAAATGTTTACTGAGTAATTTTTAGTGCAAAACATTGATTCACTTAAAAATATATTATTAAGAAAAAGGTTATAAAGATACTATTACTACACTATATTACTCCGAGGTGTCTCAAACATAATGTTAACGTACTTTAAGTAAATTGTCAAGATATTTTTATATAAATTACTGCAAATGTATGAGTACAATAAGATCGAAAAGTTGTTGTCCTATTGCAAGCGTCATTGAATCATCAAAAAATAATTGAAACAACTTGTGTTAGACATAATTTAGTGACCTAAGCAATCTTTTAAGGATTCCCTATATATAAAAAATGTTATAGTTTTGACCTCAATCTAACCCCTTCTTTTCAAAACGTAGTTTATTAGTTTCCTATATTTCTATTGAAAAAACTAATACAATAAGAAAAAGATTAACAACATGATGAAGAGGTTGTAGCACTACCTGCCTCAACTTCTTTTCGTAAACGTAATATATACCCAGGGGCGGGAAGGGGTCTTTGGTGGGCGTGACACTCCCTCTTTCACAAAAGAAGACAATTTTCAAGTTACCTAACCGGCATATCTAGATTTTTTTTTGGAATTGGAATCTGAATAGACACATGTTTTTCAAGATCCAGGCGTAAACCAAAAACAAGTGTATATTACGGGCAATTTTACTCGAGTTTAAAACGTGTTTTTGAGGCTTTAAAGTCAAATTTAAATGTTTCTTGCTTTTATCAGTGGTTTCACATTCTGTACGGAAATTTATTATAATAAAATACAACGTTTTCAACTGGTGTTTATGGTAAACAGTAGTAGCTAACTTCACGGAATGAAAACCATTTTTTGCACGTGTTATTCTTTTTATTTTAGAAGCTTTCAAACACGCAACAGAAACCAAGCGTAACTTTTTTCTGAGTTGTGCCGACTGGGTATAGTCTAGGAATTCCGGTCGGAATTTGTGAGTTTTAGGTCATTTCGGTTCCCGCCGGAATTACAATATTTTAGGCTGGAAAGTCGGAATTTATTTTTCACCTTTTTTTCAAGAAGTGTGACACAAGCTGTGCAAATTAAATCAAAAAATCATTGTCCTACAGGGCAATAAAGAACTATATGCAAACATAAGTAAAAAATACAAATTTCTTAACAAACATAATGTAATTTTATTTGCAGTAATCAATTATGTAAGGATTTCTAGAAGTTTAGGAATATTGTGGTGCAAAAAGAGTTGCTACCCAGTTTTGGGCAACAAGCTAGCTCTATTTTCATCAAAAATTTTACATGCCTCTGAGAATAGTCTCATTTTAATTGTTACTTAAGTTTTAAATAATCAAAAGTATAGGATAATAAAACAGTAAATATTTTAATTTTAACCTAAGAGGTCGTCCAAAAAGGACGTCATTCAGAATTTAAATACATTTTAATACAAACCAGAAGTAGATGTTTATTGGCTCCCTTCCGCAGAGATTTTGATCAAAGATAAGGCTCCATATTACTTCAAAAACCTCTGCGCACAAGAGCCAACATTCTCCGACTTCTTACCATTAGTTAAACTTAGCGTGACGTCCTTTATGGATGACCCCTAAACGGAAAAATAGAAAACAAAGAAATAATTTAAAATATAAATACTATGCAGGTTAAAACTTTTAATAAATAAAATTATAAAGAATAAATAAAAACAAAATGTTCGATTTAAATGAAACAAGAATCAAATTAATAAGATTAGGTTATATATATTATAGGTTATAAAATATATATTATATAGCCACGATGCTGAGGTGCAGGCTTTCACTTTCAATCTTGAAGATAAAAAATTTCATAAATATAAATCTTATTCCAGCCAGAATTCCCGCAGGCATTTTATTATAGATCAAAGTATTTTTTATATATCAAAATTTCCATTCCTGTACACCCCTAGTATAGTCGGTGTTATCAGGATTATAGTTGGTTTTTTCAGGAACTTAATTGGTTAGTTGGCATTTGACATTTTTCAGTCGGCAGATTTTTATTTTTTAAGGATTTGCTCTCCCTCATAACTTATTTTTTTTTGCTAGAATCACTCTTGTATAAACCATGTTATTTAAACTCTTTTTCGTAAATATAATATAAATCTTATTATTTTTATTATTTTTATAAGGCGTACTATAAAAAGTTGCTTTTAGAATGCAGCATGCACTCATACTATAAAGCACTGCTAAAAATGCATACAAAAAAAAAAAAAAAAAACTTCGCAATGACAAATAAATTACATACAACAAATAAAGTTAAAAACAATATTTACCTTTTTTTATTTTGGTTTGCAATAAAATAAGTTATTTTATTATCATAAAGGCTGAAAAAAAAATTTACTTTAACGTATATATGTAAAAGGCAACTGTCAAGATCGTTCTTTATCTATTCTGGTGTTAATGAATAAGTGTAATTGAAACGTAACTTAACAAAAATGTTTGTAATTTGTAATTGTAACAATAAAGCCTAAAACAACTTCATTTTTAAAAAAGAAGTACTTTTAGTTTAAAATTGACGATGTTTTTTTGAACGACAGTTTGACCCCTAACCCTACAGCACATACAAAAATACAGAAATTTGTTGATAAGATCTAAAAATCTTTTTAATTTAAATAAATATGTAACATAATTTTGTTAAAATTTTTCTTTAAACATCTATGTTAAAAAAAATAAGATTTAAAATTTAAAAAAAAAAAGAATTGTTTCCCAAAGTCTAATTTTAAACATTATGACAAATAACATTATGAAAATAAACTGGACAAAACCATTACACTTTTAAAAGTATGTAAATATTTATTTGCGTACTTAAAACAATTTGCATTAGCATAAGTTTAGAGGATATAAGAGAAATTTTTCTATTACACTTAAACTTGATAAAAACCAAAGATTTAACTTACCCTGAATT